GCAGGACGGGGCGGGGCACGGGCGGCTTCTGCCGGGGGTCACGGGATCGTGCCGCCGTGCTGGACTTGGGAACTTGGAGCCGAGCCCTGCTCCTGCCAGTCCAGGACCCGCCTGGGCCCGGCCACGGCCTGGCTCTGCCTGGGGCCCCTGGAGCGAGGTCCGAGGAGGAGACGGAGCCGTGGCCAGGTCCCAACGGTCCTGCCAGCGCTCGCAGCCGGGCGGGCGCGTCTCTAGCCCAGTGTAGGCGGCTGCCCTGGGTCCCGCGGAGGTGTAGGGCTGATGCTCGTGGGGAAGGGGGTGTCTCCTCTCCATGCCCGCAGCCTGCACACGGCTGGCCAGAAGGACGCAGCTGGTCGGCAGCACGTGATGACGGTGCCAGGCCCGTGGGCTCAGCGGAGGGGTTCCCTCCATGCGTGGCAGGGCAGGAGGGTGCCAGCATTCAGGGACCTGAGGCTCCTCTCCAGGCCACTGTCCTTCTCTGCCCCGGGCTCTTCCAGCCAGCACTGAGCCAGCCCCAGGTGGGGTTGGGTGTGGAGGTCCCTAGACTTAAGCCTCCTGCCATGTCTCTGGCTCCTGCTGCCCATGGCTCTGTCCCATCTGTCTGTGGGCACACGTGTGGGCAGGGCGTTGGCACCATGCACTGGCTCCAAGGGAGGCAGCGTGTGCGGGCAGGCCAGCGACCGCTGTGCGCTCCAGGGAGCCCACAGCTTCACTGGCCGTGCCAGGAGGAACCCGGCCCCATGGCTGGCCGGGTTCAAATCACCAGATGCTTGCAGGGCCCCTGGGCACGGCACTCCACCTCCCTCGGCCTCATTCAGGTGGTGTGGGGGGGCAGCCTGGCTGCGGGCTCCTCCAGTGAGTAGACAGGCAGGGGGTGCAGCCCCGGGGTCCCCATGGTGGCTCTGCTGGGGCAGTCGCTAGCACGGCAGGGATCTGGCTGGAGAGCCGCCGTGGGCAAGGGGGCAGGTGCATGCAGAACATGCAGGGGCACTGCTGTCCCGGAGGAGCGCAGATGGGCAGTCTTCTCCGGTGCTGGTAGCGTGGTGTTGTGGGAGGAATTTACCCCGGGAGAGGCAGAGCTGAGTGGCCTGAGCGCAGCATTGGCCTGTGGCACCTCCTGACCTGGCAGGAGTCCAGCTGGGCCCAGGAGGGGCAAGTGGCATCCTTGGCCGGCCAGCCAGCCGGCTGCAGCCTGGCACCTTGGGAGCATCTGCATGGGGCCGGGGAGGGAGCTGATCCAGGACACACTGCAGCAAAGGCTCCCATTTCACAGCCCCTTTGGGCATAAGGATGTGGCCCTGGAATAGGGTGCTCTTCTCTAGCCCAGCACCCCTGGCATGGCTACCCAAGGCCCCCTGGGCAGGGTGACGGGCAAGACCTTTCCTACCTGCTAGGAACTTGCTTTGCAGCCATGTTTAGAGACCCAGCAGAGATGGGCCCCAGCATGCCCGGAGGCTGCAGAGATGTGCCTCTGATGGCCGAGCAGCTGGAGCTGGCTGTGGGCGAAAGGAGAGCGTGGGGCAGCTCCTGTCCTCTGGGCGGGAGCTGAGTCCCTGCTCATGGTTTGTAAGGGCAGAGTGGAGAACTGGACCCTGCTGCCCCAAGCCCCGGCCCAGTGCGGTGCCCTCTTCCTCCTGCCCTCACTTCTGTTGGTGCCAGGGGCTCAGCAGTGCCGCCCTTGCACCGCTCCTCCACCTGTGGTGGTCCTCACGGCTTGCCCCTCTCGGCTGTGCTGCAGCATTGGGGCTCGGTGCCAAGCTCTGCATGGAGCAGCCCATGCGGCTGCCCCTCTGCGAGCCGCACTCGGATTAACGAGCCCGCGTGACCTGGCATCATGGAAAAACCAGCGCTGCATAGCAGGGCCCCCTGCAGCAATCCGCCAGCCTGGGGGGGATGGGCTGCCTGCCTGGGTTGGCTTGTATAGGGCAGTGTGGGCAGCAGGAAGAGGCATCTCGCCTGGCTCTGGCACCGAGCTCCGGCCAGCGAGTCAGGGTCCGGCCCCAGTTTGTCCAGCAGGTGCATTGGCAGTGGTGTGGACAATGGAGGCAGAGGCGCGTGGGGGAATGAAGCTGGAGAGGGTGGACGTGTACCTGTGGTGCTCTGTCTTCTGGAGGTAATCCCCCCGTGTGCCGACGGGCATGTGAAATGAGAGAGGACATCCCCATCCTGACCTCTGCCCTGAGCCCCACCTGGGCCCAGGTGCCGGCAGCTCTGGGCGTGGAGAGCCGTGCTGTCATGGCACGGGTGCAGTACGGAGTAGGCAGGCCTGGGGGAGGCCCTAGGGAGGCAGCCCATGCAGATGCTCGCTGCCCTGGGGCGCATCCCCCAGGCTCTGCTGTTCGGTTCCCCGTCAGCATGCGTGTGGAAGGTGGCATCCACCTGAGCGGTAGAGTCCCCCAGATGCGGTGCCCTCCCCCTGGGTGGTGCGGCCCGTAGCTCCTGCTGCACCTGATCTGCAGCAGCTGAGCAGAGCTGAAGGCCTGGCAGAGGCACAGTGCTGCTCCTGTGTGCACGTAGCTGCATCTCGGCAGCCCCGTTCTGGAGACTGGATCCCTGGGTCATTCGCAGCTGAGTGCAGCACTGGGCTGGGAGGGGGCGAGCGCTGCTGGGAGGCTGTGTCAGGCGGAGGGAGAGGATGTTGGTGCCGGGTGAATGGAGCGTGCGAGGAGAGACGCAGGGTCCATGGGACAGGCTGGAACCAGGGGAGCGGCTGACATTGCACATGCTGGATTGGGGACAGCTGGTGGGGAGGTGTCAGCTGGGACGTCTTGCTCCATGTCACTGGGACTTCAGCTGCGTCCACGAACCCACCAACTTCTGCCCCTCTCGCTCATGACACGCGCTGGTGTGCATGGAGAGGGGTCAGGTTGCTGTGCACGTGTGAGACATGACAGCATGCTCGTGCTGGCACAGACGCATGAACTGCTGCAGCCAGCTCCACCTCTGCTCTAAACAAACAGGGTCCAAAGTCTGTCCAGGTTGTTCTGGATCCAGAAGGAAATACAGGGTGTGGGTCTGATAATAGAACAAGGCTGCTGGTCCAGGGCTCCACTGGTTGCCCCAGCCAGCTGGAGGGGCTGCTTGCCCTGCCCCTTCTGGAGGCCTCTCCTGCCCTGGGGCTGATGCTGCTCATGGTGCAAGGAGCACAAAGAGACGTCCAGGATTGGCACTGGTGGATGCTCAATTGGCTGTGAGCAGCTGGACAGCTGTGCTGCTGCGCCAGCGGTAGCTGCAAAGAAACAGCCAGACGCAGGCCCCCCTCATGCTACCGAACCTACGCATCCTCTAGAGCTGCGTGGGTGGTGCTGAGCGCCGATTCCATGTCCTAGAAGCCAGACCCTGGTGAGGAGAGGGCAGGGAGGCGTTCCACAAGGGGAAGGACGTGTTGGCTTGGGTGGCAGTCGTGTGGGTTTGCCCAGGCAGAGTTTCTCCCCTGGCAGGCGGGCACCTGCTTCCGAGCACAATGGTCAGTTTGGGGCCAGCTGGGTTTGGTTCTTGTGCAATGAGGCTTACAGGGCAAATCTGCTGAGGTCTGTGGCCGGCCGCCCGTGTACGCAGCTGGAGAACTTTGCCCAGGTCATCTGCAAGCGCGGTGGTGACTCCGGGGCTGGGGCCGTTAGCTGGGGGGAAGCCCCTTGACAATGACAGGTGGAGACCCCCGCGCTGTTGGCGGCTCTCGAGAGCCCCTGACCTCTGGCTGCTCTGGTTCTGGCTTCCGAGACTGCAGTGCTTTGATTTGCTTTGCTTTGCTTTGCCTGCGTGGCGGGGCTGGGAGGCTGCAGGCCCTGCTCTGGCGCGTGTTCTGAGAAGGTGCTACGGTGTGATTCACACTTGCCATCATTTAGTACCTGACCTACTAATCCAGTCGGAGAGTTCAGGTGCTGGGGAACACCTCTCTGGGGTTTTCCTCTCCTGAGGCTGCTTTCGAGTCTCTCCAAGACCTCCCGTGGGGAGCACACGTTAGCTCAGGTGCTCGCGCGGGCAGTGTGACTGCCAGCGCCCACCAGCATGTCAGCTTGGGCAGGATGTGACCCTGTCAGCAGCCCATTCCATCAAAAATCCTGGGGGCAGAGGGACTTTTAAGGAGGCGAGTGCCCTGTGAGAGAGCAGCAGGCGCGTGCATCTCTGATTTCATAGCCATGTTCGTGGTGAGCCTGGCTCTGTCACTGCAGGGTCTCTAATTCCGGCTGGAAACCCACCCCAAAGGTCACATCCCCTGTGGAAACCAGCCTTTGGGCAGCCTGCGTGACAGAGGGGAGCAGGGGACGGCAGGGAGCTAGGCTCCCGGGCCACGACAGACCCACTGCCTGCTCTCTGCAGTGCCCTGGGTGACATGTTCAGCACTGAACTAACGACGGCGCTGCCCCCACACGGCTGCTCAGAGCAGATGCTGCCTGCAGTCAGGGAAATGCCGGATGCCAAGGTTCCTCTTCGCATGCGAGCGCGAAGTGCAGTTCCCGGAAGAGCCCGACAGAGGAGAGCGTCACAGTGATGCACTGCTTCCAGCTCCGAGGGTCTAGCAGAGGAGGGGGGGGACTGTGTCCCTGCCCGCGCATGGCACCGGGGGGCTGAGCTGCAGGCCCGGGCAGCCTCCAGCATGCCCTGGCTGCGACGCTCTGCACCTCCTCGTTCGCTTGCATGCGCCTGGCCTGCAGCCAGCTGACCTTTGGCTGCGAGCGCAGCAAGCCTCCAGCCGAGCAGGGCCAGGCCTGGGCTTGGAGTCTTCCAAGCAAGGCTGGTGCTGCAGGAAAGCCCTGGGGGGCTTCGGGGGCTGTCCTGGGCGTGCGGGGTAGCGCGCAGTTGCAGGCACGGGCTGTGAAAGGGGTCTCGGTCGCGGGGGATCGCTAGCGGTCCAGTGGCATCCTCTAGTCTGAACCGGGGGACTGGGAGCCATCACCCCTGGCTAGATGCCAGCATGAGTCATTGCTTCTACAGCTCTAAACCCCCAGAGCAGCTTTAATTGGCTTTGGGATTTTTTCCCTTTCCTGCCTCCAGCTGTGGCTGAGCGCTGCTCTGGGCTGCAAAACAGCTGCTGTATTTCTCTCTGGAGGGAAAGGCAAGGCGTCACCCACGGGCCCAGATCCTGTGATGAAGGCAGCATGGGGGGGTGGGTCCCCAGGCAGGGCAGGAGCAAGGCCTCCACGTGCCGCCTGGGACAGGAGGTCCTTCGGGTCTCCCCAAGAGCCCCAGGCACTCGTTATGTGAAGGAGGGCGCAGCCGGGTGAGGGGTTGCTCTGCTGCGCCAAGGAGAGCTCTGGCTCAGGGCATTGCTTGTGTTTAGACTTCCAGGCCGTGTGTGCAGGCCCGGGGGT